AGGATTTTTACTTGTTCATCTTCAATTGTGTGGTTTGTTTCTTTTAAGTGTGCGTGTACTGCACTTTTGTTATCATTGTTTTTCCATTTGTTGTTAATAAAGTATTTTCTTGAGTGTTTGTTTGGTTTCTTCGATGTAATGTTTCTTGCACTCACTTTCTTGGCAACGGATGGAATGAATCAGATTGCATTTTTGGGTGTTGGGAACCTGGTCTTTGGGGTGTACTAGTTTTTGTCTCAATGTGTTTATCGGTTCCTGTTTATTCCTGTTCCTGTTTATTTTAAACCAAAAACTGAATTGAGACAAAAACTAGTACACCCCAAAGACCGGGTTCCTAACACCCAAAAATGCAATCTGATTTCTTCCATCCGTTGCCAAGAAAGTGAGTGCAAGGAACATTACATTGGAGAAACCAAACAAACACTCAAGAAAAGACTTTATCAACACAAATGGAAAAACAATAATAACAAAAGTGCAGTATACGCACACTTAAAAGAAACAAACCACACAATTGAAGATGAACAAGTAAAAATCCTAGGAACAGAAAAGAGATGGTTTGAAAGGGGAGTAAAGGAAGCGATTTTTGTTAAAAAATTTTCACCCTCTCTGAACCGTGAAGGAGGTATCAGATTTAACCTGTCTCCTATTTACAATAACTTGTTGACCAGTAAGGGACATAGACATGCTGATCAGGCTAACTGAAAGTAGCTATTCAGCCTTAGCCCAAACAATAGGCCTAATCAAGACCCAATGATAGGGAGTTTAGAAACCAATGGGCCTCTTCACCATAGGGGCGTGACTAACCATCCCCACCCAGTCCTCAAACAGGCCACGCTCAGCCTTTTAGCGCAGAGCAACTTCCCGGAGTCTTCACGGAGACTTCAGGGTTGTCTACCGCTGACAAAGCTTCTGTGAGAGAAGCGAACCGTCCTTTTTTGTTTTTTTTTTTTTTGTTTGTTTTTTGTTTTTTACCCACAGGTACAGATGACGACTGACAGAACCCTTTCTACGATGGTCTATAAATCAATGATGGCTTAAGTCCCGAATACCTCCATGAAATGTTCATGAAATGCAGCAGTTTTGTCACTCTGTGAAGCACGTTGAGTTAACTTGTGTATGACATGTACCATACAAATAAAACTGTCCTGCCCCTGTATTTCCATTTGCACCTGTGCGCTGCGGAGGCTGTGGGGCAGCTTATTTGACAGATGCTTAATTGCAATTAGCCATGAGGTGACAATAAAAGGCCAAAAAGGTTAATAACCAGTGATTAAAAAAAAAAAAAAAGCACCAGAGAAGCATACGTTGTTTTTTCATGATTGCTTTAATGCGAATGCCTTGGTTTGAAAGCAATACATTCATGGTGACGCCTTCACGGAAGGTGTGTGTGTGTGTGTGTGTGTGTGTGTGTGTGTGTGTGCATGGATATCGGAAACATGTTCAACATGTGTGGTGATTGCTCCTTCATAGAAGGAAAACTACAAATACACCATTCGACGGTGTAAAAGCGATTCATGTCCTGTATCTGCACTCCCAGCGGGAATAGCTCCATTTCCTCCGCACATTATCACTTGAATGCCAATCATGTTTTTTCAACAAAACAACAACAACAACGCAAAAGTTCTTTCGCAGAGCAACGTGTAAGCCTTCACAAAAGGCGAGTTGAAACTTGAGCCCAAGTCAAGATGGTCTACCAGGGCCTCCAGGGGGCGCTCTTGGCCGAGCTCTTTTCCTTGCCGGGAGAAGACGCGTCCTCCTCTGGAGGCGGCAGATGCCCCAAGTGCGTCCCTGCTCGCTCATCGGACAGGAATTGCGCCGCCTCTCTGGCGCAATTGGCGTAATCGCGACGGACGCACTGCAGTCTCCTGAGGAAGCAAACGGTCATCTCCAGGACGTCGGCCTTCTCCATCTTGGAGTCGGGCTGCTGCTGGAGGAACTCGGGAGCCAGGAGAGACTTGAGCTGCTCGATGCTGCTGTTGATTCGCTCTCGCCGGAACTTCTCCACCAGAGGCTTTCGGATCTGCATGCGGAACAAACGAGGATGAGGATTGTGCAATTTTCAAACGTTTTAATGAAAAAAAAAAAAAATGTATATATATATATATATATATATATATATATATATATATTTAACCACATTAAAATACAGGAGGTGGTTATATACGAGCCTCAACTCGTGTGTTTGTCAAACACAAGAAGTATATCACATATTCCTCATTATTGAAATATAATGAGTAGTGCACACATGTATAGAAACAATGGATAGAAAAAAACGAAACATTCCCAAAGAAATATACTGTACTAAAAACTTATACCATTAAAAAAAAAAAAACGGATGATATGCAAAGCCATTCAATATCCTTGATGTCCAGTTGTCGGTGTTTGTCCACAGTATTAGACAATTCGCTATACTTGTACATGAACCTTGTACGAGATATCAAGGACCTGGAAGAAATGCTGTGTGTGATGATGAAGGCGATGATGCCGATGACCGTACCTTGTGCGTGAGAGTCAGGTGAGCGTCTTGTAGAGAGATTGCAGGTGCCATGACTGAGTTTTGGGTGTGCTGTCCATGCACAAAGTGGTCTCGCCTGGCTTCCTGCCTCCTACTTATAGTCCCGCGTCTCCGTATTAATGTGGGCCTATGCACTTTCTCACACTGGCAACCAATCAGAAAGAAGCACAAGGAGACAATAGTCACATCTCGGGGGAGCAGCTGGACCAAGGGAGAGGAGGTGGGGGCGGG